ATTAATTATCTAAGTAAAGTAAATAAAACAAAGCAAAATAAACTAAAAATAACATATAAAAATACATTAAAATAAAGTAAAACAATAATAAACTAAACAAATTACCCCCTCCCATGCAACCGACATGAGGAGCGCTATCCGCAATGCAAAAAATAAGTATGAGAGGTCATTGTTGCTGGAATGAAAAATTCTTAATACAAGCAGCGTAATACGAATTGGAACAGCGAAGTTCAAAACATGATCAATCAAGAATTTTGACTGCAAACAAGGTGCCTAACATTTCACTTTTATTAGCGAGAGGGGATAGACTTTAGATGGTTTAAATGGATTGTATAGGAAGAAAAATGTAAATATCTTAATGCAATAAGTAAAAATCGTTAATAATCTCACTTATCAAAATGAATTTGTAATTAAGTCGCATAAATACTCTAGACTATCTTTTGACAAATGCGAACGCCTTCAGCTGCTAAGAGTGCTGCGTTTGTTTTAAAAGTCTTTCGTCGATTAAGCATTATGCCATAACTAAAAATTAATTAAATAAACATAAATAAAAAAACAAAAGTAAAATTAAATGAAATTAATCGGCCTTATGCTGAAAAATTACCATGCGGTAACACTGGCATGCCATTCAACGCCATCGTCAACAGTACCGTCCAACTACGCTGTTGCAGTATGCTCGTCAGCGTTATCGCCATCGTTTTCTGTCGTTTCTTATCGTAAGTCATTTTACGTTTTCAAGGTAACAGACGATACAAAAATTAAACGACTAGCGCTCAATTTGAGATTCTTGTAGCAGAAATGAAAAATAAGCCACATTTATCTGGGGGTTTCCAAAAAGGCGTTATCTAACACAATTTAAAAGACGAGTTATTGCCACAAAAACTAATGCAATAGGGCCGCCTGTGCGATATGGCGATGATTGGTACAAGCCACATTAAAATATGTAAAATTTTTAAATGTTTCTTGATTCATCGTTTTAGCTACCTATTTTATTTCCAAATTTAAAATGTAGAAATAAATGATGAACCACAAGCAAAAGTCTAGAACAACCGGCAGAGTGGTTACAAGCAGATGGTATTGACTCCTCTTGAAGAATCCTTTGCAAATATTTGTTGGGATTCGAAGAGCTGTTAAATCCAGCTGATGCTATGTGTGGTGTTAATCATGGTGATAACAATGAAACGCAGCGCGACTTTAGCAGCAACATTGCTCCAGCAGATTTAGAGAGAGTTTCTGATGTGCCAAACGAGGAATCTTTTCGAGTAGATGTTGCATGAGTAGATGATGTGCCATTTGCCGGCACTTCGCGTAGCACAAATTCGACAACGATCGCAAGAGTCTACGATGAATATTTAAATTTTTATTCGCTTCTTCATTGCTTGAGCTTTAATACCTTTTTATTGATTTAAGCAAACTTCACAACTGGATTATATGATTCCAATATCAAAAATATACAAATCAACTATAAAACCATAATTTCACAAATAAATTTCTCAAAACAGAAAATTTCCCATTCACAGGGTTTTCGCGATTTCCCAATTCAAATCCGTTTCGTCTAAGCAATGCAGACAGAATGCAGTACGGAATACCTTAACCCAAATGAAGCGATGAAATTGATGATCGTCAGCGAAGACGTATAATAAATATAAATCAAAAAAAAAAAATATATATATATACAAGAAATTAAAAAATCAATAAGATAGAAAAAAAGTATTATATAATTGAATTCAACTGGATAATATTAACAAGTAAAAATAAAATGCAGCAATAAATTATAATTTAATAAATAAACTAAGCTAAAATAAAAATAAATAAATAGTTAAACTAAGGTGAAGTAAGTAAAAGAAAAAATTCTGGTATAAAATAAATTTAAAAAAATCAAATAAAATTAAATAAAATGAACTAAGAATAATAACACAGAATAAAAATAAAATTCAATGAAATAAATAAGTTTTCAAAGGGGTTACTAAAGTTATTTACAAACATATTTTTTGTAAATAGTATACATAAATAGTATTTTCCAAATAGTATAAAGTTAACAAATTTAATACTGGTATTCTACGAATTGAAGAGAGCTGCTTTTTACAGTTAATATACTTATTCAAAATCATAGGTTAGAATATGAAATTTTTCTTACTTAGAAAAATTAATATACATTTATAATATACTTATATCCTATTAATTTAGATTAACATATATGTATATGTATATATATAATATAAATTATATTAGCGTTTTTAAATATTTTTGTTGTTAATGCTATAAATAGTACACTATGTATGCGTATATACTTTTTAAGTGCGAAAACAAAAATAAATTCGTTGCTTGGTTATTAAATAATTGAGTAACAAACTTCTTCAATATCCTACTGAGTTGAATAAAAAATATAAAATAAAATAAACACCAAATAACAAATTTAATAATATTTGATGAAATAATAATTTTAATATAATTCGCTTAAAATTATACAAAAAGAAAGTAAATTAGCTGGTATAAATAATTGTTGTTGTTGTAATCGCATAGTATTCCCCGGATGGGTTTTCCTGGTCCTTGGACGGAAAAAATCGGGTTCGTTCCGGTACCCAAGACCCATAGTTGTGGTAAGTTTGTATAAATTGACTACATTAGTGGCTAGAATTCTTTCAGCATATCTTTATATAGCAGTAACTCCAGTATTACAGTTATCTGGGCAAAATAGTAGCCTTTTTATTACCTTTTTGTGGTCCAATGAGTTTTTGGAGTTGCCGTACTGGCCAGTAGGTGTTGAAGTAACAGCGAATCTGGAAAACGTTTTTATCGAATTCTGAACTTTTTTTTTAAAAAACTATATATATCTTCCCGAACGAATGTTCACTCTATTTGTGGATAAATCTAGCAAATGTTTTGTGGAGCAAAAGTTTTAACACCCGTGTGAAAGCAATTTACAAACCTTGAGTCCAGTGGAAGTTTGCTGGTTTACAAATACATAATTTGTTGTATCGATTAATGTTCTTGTAAGAAGGAAATAACTGGTTTTCAATATGTTCAAAAGCAATGTCAGCAATATAATTGTTTAACTATGCCCATTTTTAGCAACTCAAATTTAGGCTGTTAAATTTGTATTAAATTTGTCACAAATTTTTTCTACGTTCAACGGTAAAAACCCCTGGTTTATTTGCTTTTGCCCTACAGGAAATGATTTTGTTACAACTGGCCTTTGATCCAAAGTATGAAGGTGTATTTATTTTTCAGCGATCACGCCTTGTGTGGCAACCACAATTCATTCTCTTTGTTGAATATTATTTATACTCAAATAAAGTAAATTCCAGAACTGAATTAACTGAGGAAAATATATCGTTGTAATTGTAAGTAAAATCATGTAAATCAAAATGTCCATAAATCAGAATTTAACATGAAGAAAAACTGAGTGCAATTTATATTATTTACATATTTAACATACTCTCATGTCTGACAAAATGCAAATTAGTTCAAATGAACTATATTACACTTCCATTTATATATATATGCATATATATAACCTATGCATTGATTTAATTTTACAAATATTTGAATAAAATCTTTTTTTCCCAGATAATTCAATCAATTACTCACAATAAAATTCATACTTGTTTTCATTTATAATATATATATTACCGCTTTTGCCTACATATTCATATATTAAGTATAATAATTTTAATCAATAGATAAACTTGCACTTCGCAACAACACATATGTCTCACTAAACACTGCCTACAGTTTTCATTGTAATATAATTAAGTTTTTACGCCAATCCACAAGATACTAAATGCCAACATTTACTTTAACGGAGAGATTTCTTTTTGTTATTTTTTGTTTGCTTTTGTTTCGTTTCGTTTGCCACATGCACAACAATATGATCAAATCCAATACATCCAATTCACATAAATGTAAATATATAAATGGACGAAAGCTTGTTTGTTTGTTTGTTGTAATATAAATTTGTATAGATTTATTTAAATCGGTTAATTTGCATTCACTTTTATAATAAAAGTAATAATAATAATAATAATTATAATAATTATAGCAATAACCTAAATTACTTAAATTATATATTTAATATGTATAATGTATATACTCTCATACAAATACATAAAATTTTACATAAATGTGTATGTATAGGTAATAATAATTATTTGCACTAAAACTAGAATTACAAAAACATTTATGCGTAAAGTAGAAACAGATATTTTTTTGTAGATAAAATCAACATATTTGTAAGTATATTTTATTAATCATTTCATTCTTTTTTGTTTTGTTTCACTTAGCGCTTTTGATTACAGCTGCTGCTGATTGATTTCTTTCTGTTTACATGTTTGTCTGCCTGAATTTGCTAAAATTATATTTTCGTTACACATACATACATTGCTAATTATTGAAATTATCGATTACCTTGCATCAAAAAATTAGACAATAACAATTGCTATTGTGTCTGTGGGTGTGTGTGTGTGTGTTAGTTTGCCAAAAGGTGTTTAGAAATCAAGTAAGCGACAATGCGATTGCTATTTGGAAATTTAGAGTTTTTTACATAAACGGAAAATGCGCAAAGAAGGCACGAGTATTCGTTAAGCTCATGCATTCATTTTGATTTTATTTTTAATACAAGTGTACATACATATGTACGTACATAAGTAAATGTAGGCATATTTAATTTTTATTTATTTAAGTAGGGATAATAAGCAATAGAAAAACATCATTGTAAATAAATTTACTTAAATTTAATTAATATTAATGATTTATGCATGTGTTTTTCATATGAACTGTGACTTTTCATAATGTCTATTTATTTCGTTATGATGTGTATGTACGCTTAATTGCATTTTAAATCTTTTTTACATATATAGTATACTCAGTTTGAATATATGTATATATATAGTATATAAATAATAGTAATACATTAAATATTTTCATTATTATTTGTTGCTTTGTAAAAAATATACGCATATACTAAAACTAAAACTAAAAAAAAAAAATGTGACAAAAAATTCAATAAGGTGATGGAAAAATATCGAAAAAACAAAAAAAATTTTGGCTAAATACATGTATATAATAATAAACTAGTATTGTTAATTGTATTACGACTTTCGAATGCGCGCAAATATTTTCTCGCTTATTTTTCAAAATCATGCTTGCAACAAATACAATTACATCGCGTTTAATTTAAATTGCTAAATTTCAATGCATTTGCGCTTCAAACGAATTGATTTATCCTTTTAAGCTTATTTCAATTTTCCATTTAAACATTTTAATATTTAGATTTTCTTTCAAATGAATGTCATGAAAATTTTTATTCTTATTTAGTCTTAATTGTCCGATTTGGGAAGATGCTTTATTACATTGCTTTGTTGTTTCGATTTGCTGCCATGCCGATGGCCGCTATTGTTTTTGCTCGTCATGTGACGCAATTTCGGTATTGGCTTGATTGTTGTTCCGGCAGCTACTGCTGCTGTTGTCGTTGGCGTGGCGACACCATCGGCCTCAGTTCGTGCGTGGTGTAACGGCGTCGATTTTGTTGCTACCTTTGCTGCAGTAGCTTCATTTAATGCGGCAGCTGATGTTGTCGCAGCTGCTGTCTTTGTTTTTGTTGTTGTTGCAGTTGCTTTTGTTGTTGTCGATTTTATACCAGTTCCAGTTGGCAACATACTACTACTACTGCGACTCATCTTACTCATGTTGTTGTTATGTATATTATTGTGGATGTTGTTGGTGTTATTCCTGTGGCGTTGGCAATTATTATGTTGTATTATATTATGATGCGTTTTCTTTATATTATCGCTAATGTGAGACGTGCTGCTGGAAGTGTAAAGCATTTATCAGTAGGCCTGCGCCTCCTTATAGTCACTCTGATCGGATGTGTAGAAGTCTTCCAATTTCCATTGCAATGTCTCAAATGTCGGCCGTCGCATTGGATCCTTATGCCAGCATTCGAGCATAATTTCATAGAGACGTGGCTCACAATTCGGCGGTGTGGGCATACGATAACCGTGTTCGACTTGTGTTAATACCTCGGCGTTGGTCATACCTGAGAGAGAGAGGAAAAGAGGGTAATTAAAATAATGAGAAATTCAGTAACTTTTCAGATCGAAATTCAGAGAAAACATTATGCCAGAGATATATCTTTGATTTTAATTTAATAATTATTAATAACTTAAATAATTTAATTTTTCTTCTACTATTTAAAAAAATTGTTTTTTTTTTTTTTTAATTTTTATATATTTATCTTACCTGGGTATGGTATGCGTCCGTACGTCACCAATTCTGTGAGTAAAATGCCGAAACTCCATACATCAGACTTAATAGAGAATTTGCTGTAGTTAGCTGCTTCAGGTGCTGTCCACTTAATGGGGAAGCGTGCGCCAACACGTGCCTCATACTCATCTTCCTTGATAAGTCTAAAATGAATAAAGTGAAAAACAAATTATTATTTATTAAACATAAGAAATTTCATATATAACAAAAGAGAATGCTTGAAGGAAAATTAATGAAAGTTCGGGACCTACATCCTCACTAAGACTTTTTTTAAATTATTTTATACTGTTAGAAATGCAATATATTCGGCTTAAACAAATGAAAGCTGAATAGATAATTTTTAAAGACTTAATTAAACATTTCAAGGGTCTGTTTCACTTAAAAAAAAATGCAAATATCGAAAAGAAAATTTATACTAGTCGACAAGATCAATTAAAAATAAATTATGTATTATTCAGGGTTTTCCGTATACTTTTTAGAAAATTTTCCATCATCAAATCGCAAAGTGGCGGCTGTATGCTCTCAATAGCTTCTCAAATATCTTCTTTTTATGTTTTATTATTTTATTTATATTTATAAAATTACATTTTAGGACTTTATAGGACAGAAGTACCAGGTGTGCAAGTATGAAACCGGAATTTTTGTACAGAAAAAACACGTTTATTGTAATGTTATAATACAAAGTAACTTATTCAAAGTATTGTCCGTTGCTATCTATAAATTTTTTCGACCTTTCTGGCAATTTATGGATTTCGCGCCAAAAGAACTTTTGCTCTGTTGAGGCAACCAGTCATCGAGCCATTTTCTTACATCGCTGCTCAGTAAGTGCGTGTCCCATCGTTGCAAATAAGTAGTAATCGGATGGGACAAGGTCCGGTGAGTAAGCCGCGTGCTGAAGAATCTGCCAAAGGAACGACTCTATCGTTTCCTGGACTTGTTTGGTTTTGTGTGCTGGTGCATTGGCATGCAGTAAAATCGTCTTGAGTTGTCTTAGTTGGTATCGTTCTGGTCGTTTTTCACTTAAAACTCGATCCAAATCGGTCATTTGTTGTCGGTAGCGTTGAGTATTGGCAGTTTCACCAAGTTTCAGCAGCTCGTAATTTGTTGGCACAAAACTCGACATTTTTATCTCTAATAAACTAATGTCAATGAATGAAACTTGTTCTATTGTGAGTTAGAAATCTTTGTAGGATATCAATACATTAACAAGATACCCCTGACGTGATGGGTTGGTAACTGTCACGGGGCCTAAAAGGAAGACGTCGGAAGTTGTTAAATCACGAGATGTCGGTGGCCAATTCCGATCAATTCTTCGAGAGATAATACAGTCAGGAAACTTTTCCATTAAAATAATCCTGGCTTCTTTTCTGTTTGGCATGAAGCGCCGTCTTGTTAAAAGTAAACGTTGCACAGACCAACACCATTTGATTCCGGCCATAAAAAACATTAATAATCTTTCCATTTTGCAATTCATTTACCGTAACTGTTGCTGCAGCCTTTATTTTCGAAAATTTAAAGTCCAGTGACTCCGACGTATCATAAACTGTACCAAACAGTTACGCGTGGAGTATGGAGACGTTTTTTTTAACAATAAATGCTGCGTTTTCCAAGCCCCAGATGCGACGGTGTCAGTTTATTGACGTAGCCATCGAGGTGGAAATGGGCCTCATCAATCAAGATGATTTTTCGATGACATTCTTATACTGAATTTTAATAACTTCAATGCATGTTGAAGCGTGTAACGCTCCGTTTTTATTACTGGCGTAATTTTTACTTGTAAAATATCAAAACAATTACAGGTTTTCTCTTATAGGAAAACTCTTTATTATTGTATATAAACGACTTTGCCATGAGTTAAAACGAAATCCAGCTTTAAGTAGTCCGATCTGACCGGTTTTGACAATGATCATTTAAAAGTAAAAATGCTTCTGTGTAACAAGTTTGGTTGAGATATCTGACAGCTGAGTCCGGACAGTTCTCACTGTGGTATTTACATACCTCGGAGCAAAGTTTATATCATGTACATGAATGGTATAAAAATTGTTTTGACTTTTTTCTACATTTTTTTATACGTTAAACCAAAACCAAATCATTCAAAGTACTAAAAATCATTTTAGGTATATATTTTCTAACAATTCGGTGGTAATATATATATATAATGTGCTCTTTCTCAGTTAATCTATTCACTTATGATTCATACCCCGCAGTTTGTTTCTGTATCATACAAAACTGCGTAGCTAAAATAAGCCCCACAAACGTCGCATTCACTATTTTTCACCCGCACAACTTACCTCGCCAAACCGAAATCGGCTATCTTGACAACATTATTATCGCCCACCAACACGTTACGCGCGGCCAAGTCTCTGTGAATGTAATTTTGCTGCTCCAAATAAGCCATACCAGCGGCAATTTGCGCTGCCATATCGATGAGTATCGCCATCTTCAGACTACGTCCCTTGCCTGCAAGTACTATAAATTATTTTCAACTGCACATTACAAACATCATGTAACGCAATGACAAGCTACAAAACAATTCTATCTATACATATTATATGATATATCTATATGTATGTGCGAATGAATGAATGAAATGCAATTTGTAAATGTAAAATGTTAATATAAATGTAAGCGAAAAAGACACAATATGCATATATGTACATTGATATATCATGTACGAGTTGATTTAAATGCATATTGTATGATTGACTGACTGCTAAGATGTTGGATGAATATTGAAAAACAAACGTGTTAACTGCATAGCAAATTAACGTTAGCGCACCTTGCAGGTACTCCAACAGTGAGCCGTGCTTCATCAATTCGGTAATGATGTATATTGGCTCCTCCACTGTGCAAACAGCATAGAGTTGTATGAGTTTTATGTGACGCAGCTTCTTCATTATTTGAGCTTCAGCCAAAAAGTCTTTTGGATCCATTGTGCCTGTATTGGAGAGAAACAATAAAACAAACATTTATTATTTTTTGAATGTTTCAATATGCATAATGAAATTTGTTAAATTACCTGATTTAAGAGTTTTAATCGCCACTGGTGTGGTATTGTTCCACAAACCCTCCCATACTTCACCAAACTGGCCGGAACCCAATTTACGTACGAATTTGAGCGAAGTTCTGTCGATCTCCCATTGATCGCGTGTTCGATGCGATAGACCTTCGGTGACGGGTTTTTCGATCTAAGTACAGAAGTTCGAAATTGTTTTGTATTAAAAAGTGATTTTTCACAATATAAATGAATTGATTTTGATTTGGTTAGTAAGCGTGTGTTCTGTACACTGGAAGGTGAAAGGTATATCGGTATGGCCGTTGGCCACATTTAAGGCAAAGTTGTTTATTTGTATGTACGTGGAGTTTTTACTGTTCTTACTGTTTTACACTTTTTCAATTGGTTAGAAGAAGATAGATTAAAGCATTGCCACTTGGAAAAGTGTCATAATATTATCATATAAAATATTTTTGCATATAAATAATGCAGCGTGAAAGCTCAATCTGTCAAAAAAAAACAAAAAAAACACTAAGAGCTTCGTGAAATTTTAAACAATTTTTGCCGAAAATGTATGAAAATCCAATTAAAGCTTTTATGAAGCTTTCACTATTTCAAATAAAAGATTTTTTTCACTAAGCAATAATTTAAAGTGATTTTAAACGAAAAATATATAATTATATAAATCGAAGTTTCTAACTTTATTTTAGGTTTTCCATTTCAATTTTTTTATTTAAACAAAGCAGCAACAAAACAAAGTAAGTATCAAATGTGGGCAAAAAGTGTTTAAATTTAATAACTCAAAATTTTAATTTTTTAATTTAGGAAGATTCAAAAGTGAGAGCTTGAGCTTTTTTAAGTTTTTTCTAGCTTTCTGCATTTCAAATAACTTTTAATTTATTTGCACAAAGAATTATGTAAAAGTTTTTAATAAAGATTCAAAAATCTTTACAGAGCTTTTGTTCAAAACAAATTTTCATTTACTAAACCGGATATATCAATTTAAGAATGATCAAAAGCGAAATCTCAGATTTCGAGGAGGCGATACAGAAATGAGTTTTTGAACTTAGCTTTCATTATTTTAAGTTAATTTTAATCTTTATTGAAAGTAATTTTTTAAAAAGACATAAACTATCTGAAGTTAAGAGCTTTAAACTTTCTTTGAGGCTTATTAATTAATTTTTTTTTTCTACTGGGCATTCATTAAGAGAGTATTAAAGTATTAAGGGAAGTCAACTTTAAAGAGCTTTCACTCAAAAAATATATTTGCACTTAATCAATCAAAAATTTGTAATGTGCTTGTTTTTGTTTTTCCAACAAATGAAGGAACCAAGCGTTTATTCTAAGCCGCCTCCGAACGACTGATGGATTTTGATAAGTAGATAGACAGATTGTAGGAACTTTCTCAAAGCTTTCACTCTTTCCTCATTACATTAGCTACAAAAATGTAATAAAAGTATTCAAATTATGTTTTCATCCGCCTATAGAATTCCAATTTATTAACATATAATATGGTTTTACAATGCGATAATCTTCTTCTTTTCAGTATATTTTACATTTTGATTATTACAAGTCGTTGGTGTGATAAGTGTGTAAATGAATAGTTAAATAGCTGTGATGACTGACCAATAATAATGCCAATAAAATAAGCATAGCACCCCGATTAACAATCATTGAGTAATGAAGATGATGCAAATGATAGCTCATCTTAAAAATTAAAAAAGAAACGCCTAATGAGAAAATACATTTTTTCGTTTGTTTGAAATAAAGTATGCGACGCTTAGCGATGGGTGACTAGGTGATACGACGATAAAAAAGAAATAAATACAATTTGAAGAGTAGGACGACGACAACACAAATAAACACAACAACACCAATATATTTATCAAAAAGTATGGTAGAGGTGAAAAAGGCAAACGCTTGAGGTCATCTTAAAGCGATGAGGGCGTGAAAAAATATATATGCAAAGATTATTATTATTATTTTTTTTTTTTTTAACATTTATTTGGATGTCACAACAAAGGCATCTTAGGTGATGGCGGAGTTGTAGGTGACTGACTGAGTGACAGTTGACAAGTGATTGATTGGTGGGTATTTGGTGTTTGGAGTATACATGTGTGTATGTGTATGTGTGAGTAGTAGAGAGAGAGAGAGAGAGTATTTTAGTTAGAACAAACTCCTACCTCGAAAATACCCGCAAATTGGTTTGCCTATTTCATTTTGTTTATTTTTATTTTTTGTTTGCAATTTAAAATGTAATTTGTTTGAAGTTGTTAGTAAAACATTTTAATCCCAAGTATTATTGAGTATGCAAAAAAATTGGTATTGTAAAAGTAGAATGACAAAAAAAAAAAAGAATATAAAATTGTAATAAAGAAAGTCACATAGTCAACAAATGAAGGCAAGGGTATGAAAAAATGCTGGTTATGTTAAGGTAGAACGAAGTAGAAACGGAAATCAACATAATATATGTATGAATGAGGTAAATTATAGAGTCTAAACTAAATGTGTGGTGATGATGATGAATTGTGTGAATGTGAATTAGTGAGATTAGTGAAATTGACTGGCGTTGCCATTCAAATTGATGACTAACCTGCACACATGGCTTGCATAGGTTGACGCACAAACCATCGGAATCCTTGGAATAATGTTCAACAAGTTCCTGAAGTGTTCTGTTTGTGAGTAAGAATAAAAATAAAAATTAAATACAAAAAATTTAACTAAAAATTAACAATAAAAACTATTTCGACAAACGCTCACCTGAAGGTTGTGCGACGTGCTATGAAAAAGCCACCCTCATCCAATTGCCGTATACGGTAATGTTTCACTGTATCACCATCACGTACTGTCGATTGAGAATTAAAAATTATTATTATTTCACTTACTATTACATGCAATGGTAATTAGAAAAGAAATCAAAAATAAAATAAATCAACAATGTGAAAATTGCACGCAATCTTGCCACAAAAATGTTTATATTGAATTTTTTATTACTACTATTATTAGTATTATTATTTTCATTTAATTGCTATTTTTTCGTTACAAAGCAACATACCCGATAGTGAATAGTCATTGTGACGACTCTCAGAGTCGCGTATCAAATATGCTCCGTGTTCATTTTCTGGCAGTAATAGTTTCTTCTCAGCTTCAATTCGTTTTATTTTACGGAAGTACCAACTGTAAAGATAGTGAAACGAAATAAAATGTAATAAGTCGTAAAAATCCATTACACTGCTAATAAGATTTATGTACATATGAGTCTATATAAGTATAGTGCGAGTAAGTATCAAGTGAAGAGTTTGCCGTTCATCCATCTAAACGGCAGACAAGGAAATAGGTATAGTATGATACATATATACATAATCAAAAGCCGTTTGCAATCATTGCAAAATCAAAAATTTCAGATAATAAAAATTAGAAAAAAAAAATATGATAAATGGCAGTAAACCAAGCTACTGTATTTTTTCGTGATGCAATAGGTCATGAGTGCAGAGAGCAAACTTTACAAGCCAATGGCAGTGTAAATTATTAACACCATGGATGATGGTCAAGTCTGGGGCACTAAAACGAGATAATAGCAATATTGTTATTGTTATTGCTATTGCTGTTGCTGTTGTTATGACGACGTTAATGAAGCGTAATAGTAAAAGGCCGGCAATAATATGACGTAATTCGTCGTGTGAAAAGCATGTGAAAATTCAATTTTCGCCATTACGTTTCGAGTTTACGCAATAATTACAAATTTGCACTTGAAAGCGTTGATATATTGCATTCGAAATAATAGTACCAGATATAATTTGTGGAAAAATTAATAGACCTACACTAATTTAGAAGGTGTAAAAATATTTTATGAGCCCAAATGTATAAATTCAAAACATATTAGTTTTAGAACTAATTAAGATAATCTATGCAAAACATCATTGTTTAAATTGCAATTAAACAATTTTAGTCAATCAAATTTAGATTCTTTTTTTGGAAATAAGGCAAACAAAATTTGCAACAATTCAATTGAGATAGGCATAAAAGTAAAGGTAATATTCATTTTTATATATATTAAGAGTATGGTGTAACAGGTTTAATTTAAGATTTTTTTTATTAATTTTAATTATTTAATTTAATTATATTTATATCAATTTAATTTTAGTCTGTTTAACATTTTATTTAATTTTTTTTGTTTTATTTACAATATTTATTAATTTTTTTTCTATTTATTTCATTTTATTTTATATTATTTTTAAGTAAATTAATTTTACTTTATCTTCTTCGATTAAATGCAATTAAATTATTTTATTTTCCTTAAATTATTTAGTTTATTTCGTTTCAATTCATTTTGTATATTATTTAATTAATTTAAGTTATTTAATTAATTTAATTTTATTATAATTTTTGTTTTATTTTATTTAATAAAAATTATTTATTCTTTTATTTTTATTTTTTTCTTTATTTTATTTTTAATTGTTTTATTTTACATAATATTATTTCGTTCTTGTTTTCTTCTTTTTATTTTGTTGTTTTAATACTAATTTCTTGTATCAAATTTTTTTACTCTTCTATGTAATTATTATTTTTAATATCATTTTATTTATTTGTTGTTGTTTTTAATTTTTCTAATTAATTTTGTTTAATTATTTTTTCTTTATTTTTGGATTTTATTAGATATCATTCAATGCACGCAGCATTGCTCACTAACTTCCGGAAGGTTACGCTTTGAGTCCTGGTAACACCAACATTCAAAAATTATAAAAATTCAGTTTAAATAAAATTAATTATTGCCATATCTGAAATGCTCCACTGTACGTTCAGATTAACTATTTGATCTTATTTCCATAGCGGACATAAAAAACAATAGTTACTATGCCACCCAAATCAGGCATATTCTATCACAACACTACCCAAAAATCATGTTAATATGGGAGCCTGGACATACATATATAAGTGGCAACAACTTCGTCGAGCAAGCCGCTAAGCGAACCAAAGCCCAGTTATAAGTACAGAAAATTTAAACCCTTTAGATATCAAAAACCATATCAAGCAATACTTCACCTCGAAACAAAGTCTCGAATGGAACCTAACCAATAATTGGTTTTGGTACAAGAATCTAAAAAAAAGTCCCGCACACTTGACATTATAAAAATCGGTCCCCTTAGATTAGGACACACCAGGTAACACATGGGAATCTGGGCAGGGTAAATGTAATTCTCACAGTTAACCATCCTCTACTGGTCTACCCACTATATAGCACCCATAGAGAACAAGTTTTTACTATCCCAATAACTGATTTTGATGATATTTCATTTTAAAAAACTCTTCGCTGAATTAGTTTTCATTGAACTTGTACTTAAGGATCAGTGTAAATGAAACCAAATTAAAAAAAAAACAGTCACTCGAGCGGAATTTTTAATTTAATTTTTTTTACTCCTTTCTTGATCTAAAAAAAATGGAACATGTTAAAACTGCAAAGGAAAAATACTGAAGCAAAATAAAACTCCAAATCGTCTTTACATGCATTTTTTTGTTTGTTTTTGAGCTGCTTCGTCATAACGTTAACATTGACCTTAATATCAAAAAATCTTCATAAAATTGTTTTAATTTAATTTTTTATCAATGCTCTTTTGAACGATTTTTTTTTTCCATTTGGCTAACGGCAGCACAACAAAAAAAAAAAAAATGAAAAAAAATAAAAATCAGTTACCAACCATTGTGCCCGCACCGGACTATAAATGTAAACTCGCTGATGCAGCATCGCGTGAAATATGATTAATATTTATTTAGTTTGCCCATACATATGTATATATGTACATGAGTACATACCAAATTATATGCCAGATATATAATATATAATAATAACAAAAGCAAGTGCTTACTTACAGTAAGGGTTTTATGAAATTATGAAAGTCATGATTAGCGTGCTGCCAGCAAAAAAAAAAATAACAACAAAAAAGAAAGAAAATAAAAAATAAACACGTTTTCAAAAATTAAAAAAAAAGAATGAAAGACACAAAATACTATAATAATGAAATATTAAATGAGAAAAATACTTCAAATATATTACATACTTTATAAATCAACTGTAAACATGCATACATATGCATGTGTATGCTGGCATAGCATTTGTGATGAGTACAGTAACACCGGTAGCTACGAATGAGTAGCAGTTCTAGTGGTGGCCAACAGTAATTGATTATTGATAATTTTTTATTAGACATTAATTGACAGCGTAAATAACTGAATGTCAATGGGTGGAAAAATAACTAAAGCCAGAACAGTCGGCCATACATACAAATGAACATGTATGATGACATGTAACATATTTACATATATATATATATAATTTATATTGCATTTTCGTGTGAGTTCGTCTCTTCTTTTTGCTATTGTTAATAACAAATTAAACAGTTATCGGTCTTGATTTGTGTGAATAAAAAACAAACAAAACAAAAAAAAAAATGGTGCCAGTCAGTGTTGACTATTATAGCCGCAGACGCAACTACAGACACTTGTAATGGCCATGTAAAGAGTTTTTTTTTTTAGTATTCTACACGAGTTGCTAATTTGATTGGAAGGCTAAGATTATTTGCTCAGTACCTTTTTTTCACATTTAAATGGGGTTGTGTGTAGTTTACTAAGAATTTTGGAGTCAACCTTCTCTAGATCTCGACGAGTAAGTGATTTTCCTGCTAAAAGATTTCCATTCATATTTAGATATTTACATATGTATGTATGAAAAGTAAAAGTTTCACTTTTAACGAAAAGTTTTACAATGAAAGTTGTGTCAGATTTATTTGTTTAATATTTTCTTTATTTGAATAACTTTTTCATTGTTTGTTTCGTACAGCATTAAAAAAGGGCATGTGTGTTTGTATAGACTCATGTGTACACATATTTATATGTGTGTATATATACGTACTCGTACCTATGAGTGGCTAAGAAGACTTTCACTTAAATGCATTTATGAATCATACATACTTATAAGTACATAAGTACGTATAAGTGTTTTAAAAATTTTACATATCGACATACATGCATAGGTAAAATTTCATTTAAAACTTATTAAAGAAATAAATAATATACAAATTTCTGTAACAATTAAGTAATAAGACTGATTATATTGCCTCAATAGTGGTAACCCTGCAATCTTCCCATTCCCTTGCCCTTCTACCGGCATCCTTATCCTAACTCGTTTAGTTCCCCTGCTGTGTCGTGTTGAGTGTGTTCGTGATGCTTGTTTCGAAAATGGAAACACGAAGTCAAGAGCAGCGCGTCGCGATAAAATTTTGCGCAAAATTGGACGAATTTTTTTTTAGTAAATTGTGAATATTGAACTATGTTAAAAAGAAGCACTAAAAAAACTTAAGAAAGCGTTCATAAAGTCGTGGAAAGCTTCCGCAAAGTTTTAAAATGCTCCGGTATGGTCTGGAAAGCTTTCGTAAAATTTAAAAACCTGCCGTACGCGTTGAAATGCTTTCGTTAAGTTTTAAAAAGCAGCCGTATAGTTTATGAAAGCTCCTCCATAGTTTTAGAAAGCTTCCGTATAATTTTAAAAGGCTTCCGTATACTTTAAGAAAGCTGCCGTAAAGTTTTAGAAAGCTTTCGCGTAATTTTAAAAACTGCCGTTATGTTTAGGAAGCTCTCGCAAAGTTTTAGAAAACTCTATAAAAGTTTTAAATAGCTTTCGTAACGCATTCTGCAGCTTTTATTAAACTTCGAAGCTTACGGTTCAATTTTGTAGAAATTTTACGTTAACAAAATGACTTCAACTCTAATTTTTAATTGTCAAAATTATAACTTAAGCCAAGAAAAGGTTAGAACAAAATATAAAATTTTTGGAAGAAAGCAGGAACTTTAGCTGAATGCTTGGTATAAGCTTTAACATTAAGACTAAGAAAAGTTCTATCAAATTTTAAAGCTTTTATTACAGAAAAAAATTCCATTATATTTTGGTGGAATTATGAAATTTACAAGCTGCATTAAAAATTTTAATAAATGAACTTCTTAGAGAAATCGTTGCTGGTGTCTTAATTAATAAAACGCGAAAGTTTTTGAAAAACTGTGATATTAAAGAAATCAGATTTCTTTATTCACAATTTCGGTAGATGACCAATTTTGAATGCAGCAAAATTACACTTTTAGCGGCTTAAATATAGTAAAGAAAAGTTTTTGACAAAAATCACTAAGTA